ACAGGTCAGCCTCTCAGAGGACACGCTCAAAAACACCAAGCTGCTTTCTCAGGGCATATAACTGTCAGTGCAGGCACTGGGATCTGAACCCCTAGCTCAGACTTCCGATTTCAGGGTCTGTATTCACACACTTTCTTCTTTTTAAGGTCTAAGTACTCAGCATATAACACGAAGTCAGGTGCTTGCATGCTATTTTATAATATTGTGTACCAACAACAGAGTCGGAACCAACGTATAGCTGACCCTCCAGTGGATTTTCAGAGGCAGTTAATCGCACGGGAGGAGACTGCCTGTCCTTCTCCCGTGGAGCAGCTGGTGACCTCGAATGACATGCCTTTGGGACTGTAGTGCAGCTTCTTGCCACTAAGCCACCAGAGCCTCCCTACAGCGGTGGAAAAAAAAATTAGGGGAGTGGGGAGATTCCACAGGCCCACCCCTCCCTCGTGATGACTCTTGTCAGGTTTGAGAACTCCCCACAGCTGAACCAGACTGTAGGCTTCCTGGTCACTGCCAGCCACTCACCAGCTCTAGGAAGTGGAGTGACTCAAGGCTGTTGCCAACTGCTGCCTCAGATGAAGCTTTCCGGAGCAAAAAAGCAGCAGTCTTAAAACACACCTTATAAATTCACACTCCCTTTCACCTATTAACACCTCTTCCTGAAGCAGCCTTGCCTCTACTCAGAGAGACACAGCAGGCCTCAAGCCAGGAGGCATTTTTTGGCTTCCCATTTCAACACCTCGCCTCTCTCTGGTTGGAGAACAAACCCTGGTGACTTCCAGCATGGAGCCACAGTCCCGAGAATCCCTAGACATTCTTCACAGGAAAATGGTGAGGGGTAGGAGGCCCCGGGCACTGCAGACAGTTAACACACTCAGCTGTGAGCCAAAAGGTTTGGGTTCACCAGAAAAAAAGGACTGAAGCCCTACCTTGAAAAAGCCAATTGCTGAAAACTCTATGTAGCATAGTTGTACTCTGATACACACGGAGAGGTCAAATGAGGTATACAGCAAGTGCACAGACATGGCATGACCATTCTGTTGATCTCTTATTCTACTTTGTGCCATGCCTGGTTGCAGAGATGTTCTTCCCTGTGGTCTTACAACATCTAAAGTTCATGGGACATCTAAGATTGGTGTTATGAGTGTCAAGATGACCGTGACCAAAAAGAAAAGGTTTCAAGGGTGCAGACTCAGAAACAGTGATTTTATATGTTCCCAAAAGAAACTGAAAGCCGTTGCTAAAGAGTCCTTTCTGATTGTGTTAATGCCATGTGTCACACGGTAGAAGTTTCCCACACGGTCTTGGCTGTCATTTGGGTAGACGTAGATTCACCAGACTTTTCTTCCTAGGTGCCCTTGGGTGGGTACAAACCACACAGTTTTGGATTATTCTAAAACTTATTTCTGTCAAATCAGAATCAACTCATAGCTGACCTCCAGTGACTGCAAATCTGATCTTCAAAGGCTGTAAATCACACAGAAGAAGACAGCCTTTCTCCCTCTCAGCTGCTGGTGGATTCAAACCTTTGGGTTGGCAGTACAACTCCTTACCCATCAGGCCAACAGAGCTCGTTGAGATATAAGTTCATTTAAAAAGCAGTGGTACTGTGTACCATCCGGTTGGAACCGACCCATTGCTGACTCTCCAGGGGATTTCTATAGGCAGTAAACCATACAGGAGTTGACTGCTCATCTTTCTCTTCAGAAGCAGCTGGTGGGCTGGAATTGATTTACAGTGGGTAGGATCTAGTTAGACTGCATAATGCCATTAACATTGTAGAGGGGGGCTGCCCAAGACCCTACATTTCTAAGGGGCTCCTGGTAAAGCTGATGGTCCAGAGACCATACTTTTGAGTAGCAAGGCTCAATGGACATGAATGCCAGGAAGGGAACCCTGATGGTGGGTGGTTAAGATATCCTGCTGCTGGTTTGCAGGTCAAACTCACCAATCTCTCCGTAAAAAAAGAAAGACGTGGGGTATGTGTCCCTAAAGAGTTACAGGCTTGGAAACCCTTTGAGGCCAAGATGACACAACCCTGCTTGCTGAAACTGAGGAGGACCTGAAGCACCTGCTGCAGAGGGTCAAGGACTGCAGCCTCCAATATGGATTGAGGCTCAATGTCAAAAAGACAAAGAGTCACCCCTGGGCCAATTTGAAGTATCAGAATGGATGGTGAAGAGATTGAGATTGTTCACAGCTTTAGTTTGCTTGGCTCCACAGTCAACACTCTTGGCACCAGTAGCCAGGAAATTAAAAGGCGCATTGCCATGGAAAAGTCTGCTGTTAGGGACCTCTCCACAGTACTGAAGAGCAATGGTGTCCCTCTGGAGACTAAGGTGCATCCGATACAGGCCATGGTCTTTGCAATCACTTGTTATGCATCAGAGAGTTGGACAATGACCAAGGAGGACAGAAGGAGAATTGATGCCTTTGAGCTGTGGTGCTGGAGAAGAGTATTGAGAGTACTATGGACTGCTAGAAAAACAGATTCATCCTGGAAAGGGTTAAATCGGGTGGCTCTTTGGAGGCAAGCACTCTGAGGCTCCATCTAACATACTTTGGACATACTGTAAGAAGAGACCGGTCCTTGGAGAAGGACATCATGTTGCGGAGGGTGGAGGAACAGCGTAGGAGGGGAAGGCCCTCTGTGAGGTGGACTGATTCGGTGACTGGGGTAATGAGTGTCAGAGACAGTGCGATTGGCACAAGACAGAGCAGAGTTTAGGGCTGTTGTACATAGGGTCGCTATGAGTCGCAAGCGACTCGACGGCACATAACAACAAGAACATAGGATCCTTATGAGTTGGAATCAATTCATCATCAGTAGAGTAAGTTGTTGGCTGGATACCACAGAAGTATATTTTGACTTGAAAACAACCTAGGAGCATAGACTTCAAGAAATCACAGGACTAGGCTTTCTTGAAGACAAACACACCAAGAAGGCTAACTATACTCCTAAAACTGGCTGGGGCCTGGTTCAAACGAGTTTGCACTCCAAATAACACTCAAGCGTGGTGAGAATATTCTTTACAGGTCATAAAAGCAGCATCCTTCAGACAAAATTAGTAACGGAGGCTGAATTCAGGGCCCAAAGCATCCACAGATATTTCATCGCCTCCACAAATCTGAAATCAGCCTTCCCCACATTCTCCAAGCCTTTCTTAAATTCCTGTTTTGTTTCTCTATATTAAATTTGATGCTGTTTCTCTTGAATACTGAAATCACAATAACAACAACAAAAACTTATTCATTTGCCAGAAACCGATTATTCTCAAGATTAACGTGACTGTCATGTAACAAAGTTGTACTGACGTATCTAAATGATGCCGGGGGGCGGGGGGAAGGGATCAATAAAAATCTGAGAGGTCCACATCATAGGGCCAGAGATTACCTTCTGTATATTCTTTGGATCAGAAGCACTAACAGACAAATCCTCACTATTCCCTGCGTTGAGTTTCTTAAAGTCAGCAGTGTGCAGTAATCTGATTTCCAGCTGCTTTTACCCAGGAGAACACATCTGTCCTTCACCAGACACAGACCAGGCTTCCACACTGGCTTAGGATAACATGTATGTTTACTAGAATTCCATTGTGACACTCTTGACTAACTGGGCTTGAGCTCAAACTTTGAGTCATCACCAGCCAGGCCTTGATGTCAAGTGTAACAGTGAGATACCCAAAAACTGCTGAGGGTGCGCCACCTGCCCAGATAGGAAGGGATTCCCTCTAGTCCACACCCCCACCGATGGGGACACCCGAGCTCTCTGCCAGAAGAGGCTGTCACCTGTGCCCAACGGGGATAACTCAACCACACAGTCTGCTCTGTGCCCCACCTGTGGGCCAGGTGCACTCAGTCTGCGATGTTTCACACCACGATTTCACCCAGATGGGAAGAAATCGGAGCAAGAGCAGATTTGGCAAGAGCCTGGCTTGCTCTCCATTCTCCCCTTGGGAGAGAAATTTCAAGGGTTCTGTGAGTCCACTTTCTTACTTGGGCAGGAGAAAGACTGAGCTTAGAGAGGTTGGGTCAGAAAATGTTCCTTTCCATCTGATGCCTGCAGAAATCTGACAAGATCTCACCCCAGGATGGGAAACTGAGGCCCCAAGAGGTTAAAATAACTGAGCCCAAGCCGAGTCTATTCTGTAACCAAACCTCTCAGAGGCCTTACTGACAAGAGCTGACACTCCCACTGCCTCCTCTGACTGGGTCTCCTGCCACTGCGCTCCCCAGTCCTAACCTGGAGATTGTGCGTTAACATATGGTGACAATTCTGGGCATTTCAACAACATTTCATTACTAAAGTCTAGGTCCTTCTCCCAGCAACAATCACGAACCCAACATTTCACTATTTTGCTAATGTCCTAATGACCTGCAGGGAACTTCAACCAGCAAGTACAAAGTTTTAACTAACTCTACAAGATTTCTCTTGGAGTACAGAATCCTCAAGGCCTATTTCCTCCCTGTCCTCCCCTTTGTTCTTAGGAATGTAAGAAAGTAAAAAGAAATGCTCTACTGGTTCTGTGCCCCAGGAAGACTTTAGGGCAGGTGGGAACTTCTCAGAGGGAATCCAACTCGCTCTTGCTCCACATGCGCAAAGGTGGGTGCCGGCGGGAGGCGGAAGGGTCTCCTCAGGTCAACTGCGCCCACACCTGAACCATACCAGTGTCACAGGAGCTTGGACTGGATTTCGCAGGCTCTGTCCTAAATTTCAGGAGATTCCTCTTCTCCTCCTTGGGCTGGAAGGTTTTGGTGTCACTTCTTTATGGGCTCTTGCACTTCCAGCGCTCGTCCCCCACCACTGGAGTGCGTCGCCCCTGTTCTGTGAGCACCTGGGCTTGACACACACGTGTGACCTCACACTCCCTGTGGACGCCCCCTCTTTCACGCGCGCTTGGCCAGATACCAAGGGATCCAGTAGCATGCGGGTAATGGGGACCTAAGTCCCGCAGCCTGAGGAGACGGCGGGAGGCTGGGTGCGCGCGGCTGTCCTGGGGACTCACCTTGGTCTCTGCAGCTGCTCCCAGGCGCCGGTGCTGCCCGCCTGGCCCGGCTGCTCCAGGGCGTAGTAATTCTGCGAGGTCGGCCGGGAGAAGGCGATGGGCAGGATTCCCTGAGTGAACGAGTTGAGGCGGCCCCGGCTGCCGCTCCCAGTCCCGGGGGTCCCGGAGCTCAAGAAGGCGGCCGCTGGCACCTGCACGCTCGTAAAGGCATCATCCTCCTCCAACTCCTCCTGCTCCGCGCCCCTGGGGCCGTCCGGCGGCGGCTCACTGGACGCCCGGCCCGCGCCCAGCGGGCTGGCGAAGCCCCGGGCGGCCG